TGTCTGTCTGTCTGTGTGTGTCTGTGAGTGAGGGTGCCTAGTACGGCAGACTCGGCTCAATGCTCGATTTGTGCAGTTCTGGGTCTTGAGCTGCAGCTACGCCAGCTATGCGGCAACTCTGGAAGACGGCTTCTCTGTGGGCAAGAGCTTCCCGTCTTCTGGCCGCAGCCTTTTGCATGTCTCAATGGCTGCGGAGACCGGGATCTGCTTCTGTTGCCATTCAAAGGTCGTTGCGCCCAGGATTGTGGGCTCACCGGAAGATTGATATCGAAGGACAGGAGCTAGGCGAGCGCAGCATTACCTTGGAGCAAGGCCCAGGCTTAAAGCCGTCCATGCTGCACATCTTGGAGCGGGCACTGTCGACTGAAGAGGTGGCCTCGATGCTGGAGATGTTTAGTAAGGAGAGGCTGTCAACAACGGAAGCTCTGCATAACCCAGTACGGTCGCCTTGTGTGGTGCTGGCAGAAGATGGTTGCTGGAGGCCGGGTCCTTTGAGTCAGCAGGTCCGAGTGGTTGTGGAAGAGCGACTGCTGGTCTTCATGCGAATGGCCCTCGCTTGCAACAGCTTGGAAGTGGCCCAAGTCATCTTACGCTATTACCCAAAGGACGGCTGCAGGAGTCATGAGGTCCACACAGACCACACGGCATTCGGCACTGCGGTGGCAGACCTGACCCCGGAATCAGACAGTGGTCTCTTCGTTTGCAGCCAGAGCTACGGCGAGCATGGTGGGGATGGGGCAGGCGCAGGCGCTTTCTTCGTACCTTTCGAGCCAGGTGATGTTGCGGTGCACGGCTGGGAGGTTTGGCACGGAATTCAGTTGAAACAGGGACACGAGAGGGTCTCCCTGATCGTATGGGTGCGTCCAAGCAGCGATGTCTCTAGAGGAAGCTGTAGTTGGTATTGGGCCCCTGAGTTACAGGAGGACACCAGGGCGGCTTATCACATGGGTATCGAGGCATGGAGGCAGCGCCAGCTGGGCCGCACAAAGGCTGCACTTCTACAGGTGACGCTCGATGAAAGAGATGCCAGACACCTGCGGTCCAGGTTGAGGGCCTTGGGCGGCAAGCGGCAGGCAGAGTTGTGGTACATCAGGTGCATGGCTGCTGCTTCACGCAAGAGGCTTGGTGAAGGCAAGTTCACCAGACGACTACGAGAGCAGGCAGAAGCAGAAGCAGCAGGTTCGGTTTTGCAGCGACTGAGGGGCCTGAAGGCCACGCCGACGCAGAAGGTCAAAGCTGCGAAAGCGATGCGTGGAGCCTTCAGGCGTGGCTGGGAAGATGCGCAGAGAGGTCTTCCAGATCTTCGCGATGTTGGGTCAACAGTGACGAAATCACCGGCCAGCACGCCAGCCGAGATCGACTTCGTGAGCCGTTTAAGAGATCGCACACACGCAGCACGACTACTGCAGCAATCGGGGTTGGTGGTGTTTACCGAACCGATGGATGCATTGAAGTTTGATCTCTTGCAAAAGGCTCTGGGAGACTTTCAGGAACAGTTTGCAGCCCTAGAGCCCCAGCTCGACCAGAAAGGCATCTCCATGCAGATGCCTTTCGAGTTCAACGAGGTTTGTAGCCGGTTGCCCGAAAGATACGATGTCCGTTTGCCTATCGAAGACTCACGCGATGCTTATCGCCTGGAAGAGATGCCTTGGATGCAGCTGATTCGTGATGTACTGGGCATAGCCAGCAAGGAGCTCTCAGAGCCGCTGCTTGTAGCATTTCGCACATTCCGAACAGTTAAAAAGGGAATATCGGAATAGAGTTAGGAAGTGGTCACTATAGCTTGTCCAGGAGCTTTGGCGTGGTGTATTGCTCAGCAGACCTGGAGCCCCGGCACAGCCCTGGCACAGGGACTCCGGGCAGCTCTTTGAGGGAGGTCCGACGGAGACACCAGCACATGCAGTCACCGTCTTCGCCCCACTGGTCGAAATCTCTTCTGACATGGGCCGAACAAGCTTTGTCCTTGAATCGCACCTTACTGACGACATTAACTGCAACGAAGCGGATGTTTCTCATGTTACCCCCGTACTTCCTTATGGCTCCTGGCTCGCCTTTGACAATCGGATTGTCCACAGGGGTGAAGCAAACGGCGCCCTTGACATGGATCGGCCAATGCTTTACTTCGTCTACGGGAAGCCTTGGTTTCAAGACGTGAACAACTTCCCGTCAGACAAGCCACTGTACCTCAGCCGGGAGCCGGAGATTCCTCGATGGTAAAATGTGTACACCGTTTGTGGGCCTTGGAAAGGAAGTCTACCGAAGCTTTCCTCGACAGCTGCACAGTGTGGATCCGTGTGGATTAGCCGTCGAATTGCGAGCAAAAGGAGTGTGTTACGTGCAGAGCACAGGTAGAGGAGATATCGGCAACTACTCGTAGATGTTGCATTGGGATCCGATTTGCACAGCGCCCCTTCTCGTCACAGGGACGTGCGACCACTTCGCGGTGGCTTCGATGCTTGGGTGAAACAAGGCCTTCCAGTGGAGCCCACAGGCTCACTGGGACATGGAGGCTACTAATTAGGCGTCGACAGTTGCAGCGAGTCGCAAGGGCTTCTGCCCTTGCACCATGTACAGCAGATCGCATGTTGATATTGAATCTCAGGCATTTAGTTATGCAGCCGTCCTTGACCAGACTGTTATCCTAAAAGAGGGCAGCCAGAGCGTTTGCTTTTGGCACAGCTTGTGCGGACACGTTGCCATGCACCTCGTGTGGCAGCAGTGTCTGCAACGCTCTCTGTTCCAACTGTTTAGCCATAGCGATGAGATGACACGGCCTCAACGAACAAATAAGCAGTGCGGCTGCGGCGGTGCTGAACTTCAGTCGTGAAGCTGCAGCAAGGGCAAGCGCCGGTTCCCTGAGCCAAGATGCTGGTGGACTGCAGCTTGCATCATTTAAAACACAGTCGCATGACTGTGAGCCAAAAAAAGCAATAGCCGCAGGAAACACCACAAGCACCTTATGTTCACACACTGCGTGCGCACTATCGGCACTACCAAGTGCCATTTGATTTCGCCCATTCTCCAGCAGCAACATGCAGCACAGCCAAGTTAGCAGCAAGAGGTACTCGTAGTTGCCATCTGACATTGTTGACAATTTAATTGCCAGTGCTTGCAGCTGATCTTCCCCGAATGGCTGAGCCTTGGCAGAACCAGAGGTGAAGCAGCATGTCGCACTCGAATCGACCTGCAACTTCCTGCATCTCTTTGCTGCAATTGAGGATACAGCACCAGCTGCTGCGGCTGAAGCAGGTCAGACCATCCCGCGACAATTTTGTATTTGGCACTCTGATCGCTTGTCGGTCCAGCCTCTAGGCGAGGAGGCACGTGGATCCCGTGTCAATGTGAAGAACCTGTGCCAAAGCAGCTTGGCGGCAAAAGGGCTTCTTTGGATCTCTTGGTTGTCTCTGACAACACCCCATGACTAAGTATCCGGTGTCGAAGATTGGTAGTTGGTTGAGGCAAGGAATGAATAGAATGTCTTCCGACAAGTAGAGAATAAGGGATTTCTGGTTACAAAGCAAGTGTGGCCACTGTTCAAACCCCCTAGAGGCACTAGATGCTAGATGCTAGGCAACTCGTAGACGATAGAAGCTCGGCGAGAGCCTCCGTGTTGTGATGAACTCAAGTACTCCGAGCGGAGCGGAGCAGCTGTGCTTCCGATCACGGCGGTGGGCCAGGCCCATGCATCTCCAGAACAAGTATCTCGGATTGTGTGATCCTGTCCCGGACAACCAAACAGTCGCATCTCGTAGACAGCAGCTACAGGTGGTCGTGCCATCACTGGCTGTGCTCTTAAATGGTGGACCCGAGTAACTCATCGATGCAGATCTCGCCCAAAACTATTGAATGAAGCTCGCCCTCAGAAACCGCTCTGCTCGCCGGTAGCTGTGGTTTCTTAGCCTGACAATGCCTCAAAGGTACCACGGCAGATGAACTGAAGAGCTTTTTTGCCTGCTGCGGCACTGTTACTGATGCTGGGGACCAAGTCTTTCTGCAGAGATTCAAGTACAGATCACAGATTTCCTTTCTGTCTAACTTAGTTAGACCCACACATGGCGCATCATGGCATGGTGCCGACCGATACAGACACAGTTTGGCATCAGAGGGTGGCTAGCAGAGCATCAGGTGGAAGTCAAGGTTCACCCAGACGGTTCTTCCAAAGGCTATGGCTTCGTCTGCTTTTCGCCACCGGCTCAGTACTGTTCCGAAGACTCGACGAGTGTCGGCAGGTTCGGACATCACATAAGCTGAGACGCCTACTCGTCAATGTCCAGGACTCCAGAAGAAGCAGACAAAGCTGTGTCCGAAATGAACGCCAGCCTCTGTTCGCGCAGACTGTTGCCAATTGCAATGCTTCTCGGAGAAGTGTTACGTTAAGCCCACATGTGCAGGGGAAGACTTTAGAGGACCTGTGGAGCAAGCTCTCGTTGTGTTTGGGAATACCTTGATTATGTGCAAAACACCGGCGTTGTTGGGAGGAGAACAAACTCGTCGTCGCAGCCTCAACCGGTTAGGGTGAGTGCCAAAGGCTGTGTCCTTTTGTTCTAAACCTGAGGTGAAAATCGCTGAGCGACGGTACACAGAGGGGAAAGGCGAAGCAGGCACCGGAACGAATCTTCACAGACTCAGCATCCAGATCCAAGCTATGTCATGCCGGGTGGAGTACCAACTGGTGAAGCCCCCGCCGAGAGTCTCCTCGCGTTCAGGCAAAGGCAAGAGCAAGGGCAAGGGCAAGCAGAAGGTCGGGCTGGAATGCCTGTGTCCTTGGAGGGCTCGTGAAGACGATCTGGCAGGCACAGCTTGGCTACATGGACCCCTATGCCATGTACGGTGCAGGACCGAGGTTTGCAGCAGTGGCGAGCTGTCGCCCCAGCAATGCGGTGGTGAGGTCAAGTGATGGATCCAATGCCGGATTCTTGGATTCCAGTCGCGGTGCCAGGCTGCAGGCAATGGCATCTTCAGTCTGTCTGATACATCTGTGGCTAAGGGTCGCAGCCATGGGTTACCCGTGCTCTGCTTGTCCAGCATGTCTCGATCAGATGTTGCTGCACCTTCCAGCAGGTACTACGATGCTTCCAGCATGATGAATCCCTACGGCTACGATCTTGGGGCGATCTACAATGCCATGTCGTGGTCTCGGGTTGTCACGACAGCGGAAGATGTGATGCCTCGTGCTGCACCTTCCCACTGGCCCGCTAGAACGCTCTATGGTTCTCAGCCGTTTGAGGTATGGCACACAAGGCATGCCATGCATGCCGCAGATGTACAGCGGATTTCCGATGGGAGCTGGGCACTTGGAAAATCTGAGAGGCAGGCCGAAGCCATGCCAAGCCCAAAGTCCGAGGCCATGCCTGGCATGCCGATGCCCAGAGCGGGCAAGGCACGGGCATGCCTCAGTGCACGAGCCGTTCAGAGCAAAGGCTTTGTTTGTGCAGGAGCCGGCTGCCGTCGACCCAAATGCCATCTTGGCACTGCAGCAAGCACAGGCCTTCGCTCTTCAGTCGCAGGCGTGCTCATACTTTGGTAGACAGCTTTGCGGGAGAGCTGGCCGCTCGCCTGCTCGACAACTACAGCTGGAGGCCATGGAAGCTGCCAGGGACCATAAGGCCCGCCAGTTTTATCGACAGCCTTCCATCAGTCGAGTATCTTCCACCGTGCTGAGACTGTGACTGGAGTGTCCGGAGATCGACGCAGTCTGAACATCTTCCGAGGCAGGTGGTGCGAACAAAGATGACAAGGGCAAAGGGAAAGGCGAGGCAGCGTTCTCGGTTCCTCTCTGGAAGTGCGGGCGGCGATCCACGCGGGCAGGTGCACAAAGCAAGGGTAAAGGTAAAGCTGGGAAGGCGAAGGCGTCTCAGGACCTCGGGCGCTGGCTTTTGGGAGCACGAGGGCTTCAGGGCCCCATGGACTTGCATCGCCCCTTCACAGGAAAATACCGGCCCTATGCCGGAAGCTCCTCCGCCGGACCAGGCTGGGGACCCCGAAAGCGTGCTAAGAAAGCTGGGAGTTGTGTAGTAACAGTATAGGAGTAGCCGGAAGAGTAGACTGAAGAGTAGACATAGAAGTAGAAGTAGCAGTGCAGAATCCGAGTAGCAGAAGCAACAGTAGAAGCTGTAGTAGACGTAGACAGTAGAATAAAGCTGGACACCCACAGCCGAGCATGACGATCATCATCCGCTTGAATATTCTTACAAACATCCCTCACATCCGGTACTCGCGGTAGTCGCTCAGTATTGTAGTTGTAGTCTTATCATGGGCACTGTGAGAGGGCCCATCGATCTGACAGTACTGGAGCGATGAGCTAGACATGGGCACTGTGGTCCCATGTGAATCGTTTTGGTTTATGACCGGATAAGCTTGGAGTGATTCCCAAAAGGACGTTTCCAGGTGATGTGTGTGTGTGTGTGTGTATGTGTGAGTGTGTTTGTGTCCGCGTTTGTGTGTGGTTGTGGGAGAGGGTGATGTTTTGGTTACGTTCACGGGTTGTTGTGGCATGGTTTGGGGGATGTTTGGTGGGAAGTTCATGGGGATGATCGTCCCCATGTTG